GATGTGAGCAAAGTATCGGATGGATAAAATCGATGTTCAATCCATAGACATAATAAGAATAGACTGCGCATTCCTATTGTCATTATCGATTTAGACAGAGTGGAATAACTTGAATATTGCTCTTTCTCTCTCTCTCTTCCTAAAGTATCAAATTTAGGAGGAATGCTGATAAAGAGTTGAAAGATATACTAATATATTGATTTCTTTCTAGTAAAGCATAAAAACTAAAGAACGCAGTGTTACGTTTATGGTTGTAAATTTTTACTTTAATATGATCCAGTATAAATTTTTCGTATAAAAGTTTATAGCTATCAATAAGATATTTATTAATCAATAGAGCAGCAGTGACGAATAACAATTAAAAAAGTATTAAAAATATCTTATTTTTAATACTTCAATAATTTATATAAATATACTTAAATTATACTTCTATTAATAATTAGTTTTCTTATTGATTTTATATTTTTTAGAACCATTTATTTAGAATCAATAAAATTGAATTTTATAACTCCTGCTTTCCTTCTTCTACGTTTTCTTACGACTAAAATGTACAAAAGTATACAATACAAAGTATACGATACAAAGATGTTAAGTTTCTCACATGCATTAACGAAGGTCTCTATTTCTATTTCTATCTTTCTCCTTTCCTCTTTTCCTAGAATTGTTTTAATAATTAAGTCTTTTCCGCGCTGCAAAGGGCTGATCCCTCCAAACAAATTCGGTCAGCTGGGAGCTCGGCTTTGTGTTCTTTTTCCCCCGCCGCAACGCAAATGCAAATAGATTGAGTAACCATCGCCGACAATTGCCGTTCCCCCCGTACTGTTGGTGTCGCGCGAGAAATATTAATACCTTCCACTTCCTTCCGGAGAAACACCCGGCATGGGTCCCCCTATACGGCGCACCGAATCCGAGTCGAAACTCGTTTACGTAGCCGCATGTACACGTAAACACACGCGATCTAAACAACGCTGCGCCACCGATAAACCGAGGGCGAAAACCCAAACACACTTTTTGAGCGCGTGCGGTTGAACGCGTGCGAGAGGGTACAATTAGCGGCTATACATGTATTCTTTCGCCGCAACGAGTTACATACAATACCTCGGTGGATGGATGCTCCGCGAAATTGCTTACGGTCTATATACGGTGGTAAGGTGGTTTCGTTTTAGCGAAGAGGAGAAACGTCGAACTGTGTGCAAATCACGACGCAAAGCTGATTTTCCTTGACTCTCGACGGGCACAGTTTGCTTCTTTCTCGCGTCTAAATGTGTTCGTTAGGTGACCCGATTCTTTCCTAGCAGCTTTCGCAAATTAAAATGATGATTTTCGTATAGTCCTCACCGCGATAATGCAAGGAATGCCTCGTGGCGATCGCCTTGTAAATGTATATCGCTAGATGATCAGCAGATCGGATTGTGGCTTACATATCTCATTGTTTTAAATGCGCATACAAGCAGCCTTTTTAAAGATGAGTTTCTAAAGTTACAAAAAAGTAATCTTTAATCTTTTCTTTAATCGTATTTTATTTCATTTAATTCCACAGTAATTAAACGAACAAGAAAGGAATGAAAAGGTTTAAGAATATTGCCATTGTGTGTTAATATATCATTAATTTTTCTTCGTTGCAATATTAGAATTTAAAAACAACTAGATTTTAGACATATTGCTGGGTTGATGGAAAAGTGACACATCTCAAAATTAGCAACTTTTAATTTTTTTATTATAATAGAGCTTTTTTTAAAATTCTGAATTGAAACAATGTTTGAAATAGTAAATATGCGTAACTTCAACTTTTTTTCTTTGTTATACTTTCATCTATATTTGTTCTTTAAAACTATGTCATGAGTTTTGAAAATTTGAACACTGCAACTCTAATTTTTTACTTGTGTCACTTTTATCAACGCAGCGATATTTATATGCCAATGTTCCTGGGAAGTTAAAGGGGTACGGGAAAAATAGTGCGAAATCAGGCTTTTTGTCTATCGCAGTGAAATGACTAAAGTGGCACGTGTGCTCTTTTACAATTTTGTTGTCCTGTTACCTATATGCACCTCGGCTTAGTATTAGTTTCAATAGCTTTGCATATGAATGGTAAAAATAACCATTCTATAAGATTTGCGCGAACAACCTTATTGCGTTATTCTTTTCGTATCGTCTTTTCGAGCTTCTAACGAGATTTTGTTGATTAATAAAATTTACTCGATTTAGATAATTTTCTTTTGTAATTTATGACAGAATACTATTTATAATTCTATATACGACTATAAAACGAAAAACATTTGAAAAATCAGAATATATATAGAATACAAAGCATATGAAATTGTAAATTAAATTATATCTTAAGTTATGACATAAAACATAAATTATAGATTTGCCTAAAATTTTAAATACTTAACGCTTAATGAATAAAAAATGTTTAATTATACATTGAAATAAATAAATATAACATTAATTATCGTCGTACATATTGATATAAAATTATTATTTTTAATTTGTAAAAAATTATGACGAATATAACGCTGCAAATGTTTATTATTACTTTATTTTTTCCACTTGCGCATGGCATTCGAAGAAGCGCCATCGACAATCGAAATCAAAGGCGGAAGCTGTTAACGATAACTACGGTCCTTCAACATTGGGCGTGATGTTCAGGCATCGTCGTAAATTAATGTTTTCATTTAGTTATCGGACAGAGCTCGATACGATGCCTCTTTCGTGAACCTGATAATCATCGTTTTCCATAACCAGTTATATGAAAACGAGACTGTTTCTAACGCATAAATTTTGCATTGACAGGTCTTTTATCTCTTTAATCCCTCAATGAAAATGCACAAGACACCCATTTTATATAAAGAAACAATAAAAATTGTTTTAGAAACAATAAAAAATATATTTTTGTGAGAATTTTGTTATGATGCTTACAATTCTTACATTCTTACAATTCTTTCGAATAATAAAGAACAGTTTTGCACAGACTTTATCTCGTTTTCACTTTTACATTTTTGGCGGAAATCTTGTGAAGCACATTAGTGAAAAAGGTGAAAAATTATGCATTGACAGAAAGGTTAAGTTAGACAATATCTCCTTAAAAGATTACATCTATACAAACATGGAAAGAACAGTTTTGCTGAAATATCTAAAAATTTAATTAGACACAGATCTGAAAGTAATTTTATTGAACAAAATAATTATATAGGTCACTTAAACTTTTGCTAGAATATTGAAACTTTTTACAGTATTGCTTATCGTGCTTGAAATTCCTACGTAATTATTTTGATAATTTAACAAAATCAACTTTATATACATATAATAATCCTTCAAACTAGCTAAGTTTTTAGATATTTTAGGATAATCGTACTTTTTGTGCACATGATAAAGATTTCGCATCGATTTTTTTAAGTTGCATTAAATAGCTTAGCAATATTTTTCTCTCTCTTTCTTGTAAATCAATTTTCTGTAAAGATAATTATAATCCTTCCACAATATCTGTACTTGATGTATTAATCAGTAAGAGATATTTTCTCCATTATTTCTTTCATGTTGTAAGACCTACATGAAACTCGATTTTCTCGTGTGGATAGCGGAAACAAATTGCGCATTTAGGGATTAGAACGGCTTTCCCAGGATTGTAGGTATCTCTCGCGTTACATCGCAAGACAGATAACTAATTCCATGTCATTAGCATACGCTTGATGGTTGATCTCAGCGCGATTAACATGCGTTTCCCATGCGTAATACTTGATTTTCGTCATGTTTATATATTCTTTATAGTGATTATGATAGACGATCGTTTGTGTAGCGGTGAACGCCGCCTGCATGCCGGATGGAAAACCGCTGCAATTACTAGTCATCATCTCTGAGATACCAGCCGGAAACGGTGGCTTTATCCGATTTTACATGAGTCCGTGGAAACGTATGGCAATCATTTCGCAAAAGCCCGGCAGTCGCGATTGCAATTGTAATTGAATCCCGTTGATGTACGGCCAAGTAAGAACGATATCTCAGTGAAATCATCGATGATGACAGGAAGCCGCCCGCGAATGTGGCTTTTGATTCTTCCCCGCTTCTTCGAGCGCAGCTAATACGAAAGAAGTGGATTTGTTGGTCGTTTCGAGAAAACCTTTATAAAAATCTAATAGGTACTGATTAATATTGAAAGACAATAATTACTTGCTTATTTGAAATATTAAACCACTGTTCAATACTTTTAGTACTCCAAATAAGTAATTAATTATACTGTTTTTCAATAATAAATTGGCCAGTATTAGATTTCTGTAAAAGAAGTAGACTCGTGGATCAAACATTACTAAAAATTAAATGATTATAATATAATACGAACGTGATTCTTTAATAATTTAATACTACAAGGAAAGAATAATTTTTGCTAAAATATATAAAAATTTAACTGGATACAGATCTGAAAATAATTTTATTGGATAATTTTATTAAGTGCAGATTGACAATGTTGTGAAGAATTTTAACATTTCATCAATCAGTTTGAGCGTCTTATATAATTATTTTGGTCCAAACAAAATTATGTTTTCAGATCTGTATCGCTCAATTTTTAGATTATTTCAACAAAACCGTATATATATATACATATATTAATTATATACAACGAATAATTTAATTCGTTATTACGAGTAGTTTAATAATAGAGAAAAGCGAAATTTTATGACACGTCCTGAAAATTAACAAATTAAAGACTGCGATAGCTAGAGAGGAATGCGAAAATTGTGAATAAGCAGCTGTAATAATTTCAAGAATTAATTTAGATGATTAATTTAGATGCCGATGAAATTACAAGCTTATAGGTCAATCTGCTAATTACATCATAATTTGTCAAGTGTTTTTCAAGTGAAAGACTTACAATTATTAATATACTGAGTAGCTCATTTAATGTTAGATGCTTGGAATCTCTTTCCTTGGATTCTCTACGTTAACTGTAACCATAAGCCGCCGTTAATTTACATTACAAGTTTACGTATACGTATGTGTTTCAGGTGGTTACTAACGGTCTCAAGTGCAACTCGGACGACGTCGACGGTTTGACAAACGGTGAGTCACTTGAAGTAATTCTTTCTGTCTTCTTGTCATTGCATTTTTTTCTTCCTCATTCATTCCATCGTAATGAGACGCAATCAACGATGACGACCGTACGAGATTAGATTCATTCGATACGCTCAGCGGGGTACCTTAGTTTCATTGACGAAATCCCACAGCATAAAAGAGTCGTCAATGAGACAATTTAGGATTGTACGAAAGTTTTTTGACCTTATCTTTCAAATTTTAATCTGTATTAATCTCTAGAGGGTTGAGTTTATTTTTAAAAACATCTTTTTTTACAACTTTTCTTTGGGTAAGATTTACAATTTATTATTTCATTGTATTCTTGCTTCAAAATATGATATTTTCAGCGCTATTATAGTGACTTTCCTGTCCTGTAAAAGTTAATAAAAATGGTACTGTTGTTATTTTAATTACTACAAATTTATCTGAAAGATCTTTATTCATCAACAACTTGCATTAAGAATTTTAATAAAAATTAAAATTTATTTGGATTAGGAATAAAGACGAGTAAAGTGCGAATTATCTTTAACTTATTTGTTAATATGTAGCTAGTAATGTTTTAATGTTTTTAATAACGAATGATAAGCAATGAAGTTTTGTTTTTAGACTTCTGTGGTTGCTTTTATTTAGTCACTTAGTCTAAACGATAACTTTCACAATTTAACATACATAGTTTATCGCCGACTCTACACTATTTTTACATCAGTGTTAAGTACTTCGTGAAACCAATGTTTTCCCTCTCTTTCTTTTTAGAAGTAGTCTTAATAGCGTACGAACTACATGAACTACATACATAAAAAATTAATGCGATTTTATTTAGAGGAGAAACGTGACATTTATGTACTACTTTAGTTATTAATTATTGTTCTAATTGGATTCTAATGTTCGGGACGTTTTGCATTTCTGGAAATTTACAGCTCCTGGTTTTTATAACTCTGGCTATAATTTACAGTGCGGTTTTCCACTCGTAAATCAAGCGCGTCATGTATTGGCGTATTTATTACCGCTTATGAATGTATCATGTGTGTATCTAATTGTGTCGCGTCCGATATGTTATTTTCACAAAAACCATAGCTATTTTCATCGATAATTGCGCCGTTCGCAATACTCAACAATAATATCTTGCTCGCGGATTTATGCCTTATTTAATATGTTTATCCAATTCTTGAAGATCAAAGGATCTTATTTTTAACAAACACACATATTAATTTTTTGAATCTCAATTTCAATTTCAATTCGTTTAATTTCTATTTTTCTGCAGAATTAAATATATAATTATCATTCTTTTACTGTATGATAATGTTAAAAACAATTCAAATATTTAAAGAAGTATTGCAAATATTAGAACTCGAAATCATTTATGTTTTATTTATTTGTTTCTAACATTATCACAAAAAAAATATCAAAAATATCTGTATCTTTGTTTCATAATTTATGATAATATCAATTATCCTTTTATAACGTCATTAATATTTAATTTTGTTATAATAAAAAAAGTATTTAAAAAAAATTACTTATCAAGCTTTAAAAAAAAATGTCTCTTCGATTGTAATCACTGCTCCAGAAAGTCGCAAAGTCAAATGTGTTACAAACAGATGCGTGTTAATGCTGCTAATCTGTCTACAAATTATCCTGTCGTATTTCTAACCTCCTGAGATTATTTAGGGCACAAAGCTCGACAGGGAGTAGTTCGCGCTTTTACACAGAGTATCCTGTAAAGATCCCAACAACATTTAAGAGTAGATTCCTGAGATCATTTTGAGATGAAAATCCTAATATCAAAATGTCGAGGCTATAATAGTTTTTGAATTATATAAATATATAAAGTTAGCGAATCATACCACCTAAAGTTCGCAGATTCAGGTGTGATTAGTGTGATACAACACAGAAGTCACTTGTATATAGCACCTGGATAAATATTTCCCGGATAAATAACACAGAACAGAAGCGAAGGTTGATGATTTTCGAGATGCCATGAGATAGGAAAAATGTTTTTTCTCGTGACGTAACATATCACTTGTCCTTGTCCTCGGCGAGATTGCGACGGCCCTGACTTTGCCCTTCGGTCACTATCATCCCGAGCGAGTGCCAGCGGACGAGCACCGCGTGCGCCTGCAACGACGCGACGACGATGATCCGGCCGCATTTTCTCACGCTACTTCAGCTGCTCCTTGCCAGTGCAATGATCTCCCTTCCGCGGCCGCACATCTGCCTGAAAATTACATCCCGAGCTGGCTTACGCGCGTCTCATCCTCTTCGTCCCGCTTCGCTTCTCCGCACACGACTCGTTAATTTGAGATCCGCCACGTCACCCTCATGCAGATCCCCGGCTCCTCTCTCGGGAACCCTCGAGATTAATCCCTTCGGACACACTTCGTCCAAAATTTGAATGACCCCGCACCGTATAATTTTCTTATTGTATACCGTTCATTTATTACCGACAAACTTCATTTAATTTTCGAGCAATATGAATTGCTTAGATAATTTTTCCCCTGATTTTGTGATTTGAATACATGCAATTGTTGTTACACTTATTATTTATTAATTTCAAATTTGAGATTTAATTAAGATTAAACAAATTTTGACACTAATAAGGGACGAAGGAATGTGTCATTAATTTATTTTATAACAAAATAAAAATAATTAACGCGGGGACACTTTAACGTTGACATAATGATTATTCACAAATAGAATAGACTCTGACGAATGAAAGATAAAGATAGAAGAAGTAAATATCTGAACAAAAGCAACTATTATTTTGTTTTATAACAAAATTAAATAATGGCTTTTATTTAAATATATTTTTTCTATCTTTATCTTTCATTTATCAAAATCTTTTTACGGACTTATTGTGTTCCTTTTTTTTTTATAATTATTGTATCAACTTTAAAGACGCCTGCGTTAATTCGCAACGCTTCTATTGTTGTAAGTTCGTTTCCTACGCAGTTTTTTATTTAACTTGGAAATCAATTGCATGTAGCGATGATAATGTTAGGTAAGCTCGGCGGTGAAAGTAGGAAGGAGGAAGTGAATAGGGATACAACGGAATATCGCAGGTCCGTATCGCGTCGCGGATTATTAGATCATTATGTCATCTTTAATTTAATCCGCGGTCAGACTACGTAATAAGGCCGTAATACCATCAAAAGCATAAGTGACCGCGTTGCTTATGATGAGTCTAATAATCTTCCTCCACCAGGATTCAAGGATAACAGTAATTATCGCTGCAATGTGCGATACGCTGATAGTTTCGTAATTAGATTTTAATTATTAATGAATAATTAGCGATTATACCGTAACCGCGATTATGACTTTAATTGTTACGACTTTGACCACTATACTGGTTTCACTCGAGTTTAAAGCCTTCACAAAATACGCGATTAAACCGAACTTATTTAACGAAAGGAACTAATTTTTTTTAATAAGCTAATAAGAATTCGTTTGATGGCTCTACAGCGTCGTTTATCATCGTGTATTTTCCATGCTTCTGATTACATTATTTTTCTTCTCACAAGTTTTTTTTTTGTGATCTAAATTTTGCCATGTAATCGCGATTAAAGATAACGAAAGGTTATCGTTTATCTGCCCGTTTTATGGATTTATTGCGAGGAGCTTCAATACGATATTTAATTATCAAACTGTATCTAACAAAGTGAAACATTGGGAGATTATACGGGATAATTTATTCGAGAACTTATCAATACAACATTCGTGAAGCATGTTAATAATTTGGTCACTTGCATTACACTAATTTAGTGCATATTAAAAGCTGCTGTACATGAAATTAGTCAAGTTAAATGTAAAAGCATATAAGTATTTTAAACGGTTTAAGTGCTCAATAATAACATTGCCATTTATTTAACAGAATATATATTTATTATTCCATACTGTCAAAGTTGATTTATTTACCTACATTTAAATTTTGTCCACAAGATTTATAAATTTTGTGTAATGCGAATTTATCATACACGGAAAAAACGATTGTAATGAAGTATTTATTAAAATTTAGCTACATATAGATCTAAAAATAATTTTCATGTGCCATCCAAATAATTATATAGGAATCTCAAACATAATAATAATAAGCAATGCTGTAAAAAATTTTGACATTCTAGCAACCAATTTAATCGTTCTACATATTGTGATGGCTGGAGAAAATTATTTTCAGATATATATCTATAGCTAAATTTTTTAATACTCAGCAAAACTGTTCTTTTCATGTAAAATTAGGAAGAACAGAATTGATAGAAAGATATAATAAATGTTTTAAATGATTAAATGTTTAGTATAATATTGTCATGTTATTTAATAGAATATATATTTATTATTTCATTGTCAAAGTTAATTATATTATGTTACTACATTTAAATTCTTTACATAAAGCAGTCTGTAATGTGTAGTAACCCAGCGTAAAGTGAAATCACGATGAAATTAGAATGGACAGAGATACTCAAATAAAATTTTGCAGTCTCTTTTGACAGTCCTTTATGGGCCGGTCTCACCAATTTTGATTAACTAGAATGACCTATTAAATTTCAGTACTCCCAACTGCAAAACAGAAAGCACAATTTTCTGGCATGGTGAAAGTACTAAGAATTATTTAATAATAATTATTATTGCTGCATGTATGATACCAAAGTACATGAAATTAATTATTTTAATTATTTTAATGCGATTTTAATGCCATATATTCTTAACAGCTGCCAGAAAGTTATGTTTTTAGCTTTGCAGTTGTCAGTATTGAAATTTAATCAATCGAATTAATTGAAGTAAGTGGGATTGATTCTATAGCTTTGTAATTCTCCGATAGTTTGCGTTGAACTATCCGAGATTGCCGTGCCGCCGTCGAGATCGAAAGTGAGAGTTACTGTTTTTGCTTATCGAGAAATCGAGGAAAGTGTCGTTGTAGAGGATATATTTCGCGGCTGTAAACTTTCGATTCGGATCTTGCAAACGTTCGTTATTATCTTATGCGCATCCATACATGT